ATAAATATAAATATTATCTAAGTCAATCAGTTTTTCAGTCTATCTTTCAAATCGACATTCCATCTGTTCTCTATCCATCATCCACAATGGAGTTAATAAAAAAAAGGTAGAGGCATTATGTGTCTGCTTGCTTCTGAGATATTTTATAAAACAATTTTGCTTTAGAATTCCGATAAAATAAATTTAATAGCAAAAGTTATTGTGCTTTAATTATTCGAGCATTGGCTTTGAACTAAAATCACAGAATTTGTTGTCAGTTTATGCTGTATGGAATTTAACAAAATTCTAATTTAATTTGTATTTGGAATGTCAGCACCAAAATATACAAAAGCATGGAAAGTAAATAGTGTCAAGTAAGGAGTATTGCAAGAATATTTAACAACTTACAAAGAATATTTAAAGATGTGGCAAATGTGATCAAAGCGCATCAGGTAACAACGTTAGGTCGTATCTCACCTGGCAATCAATGCCAAGCGTAACCAATTGCTCCACACATGGACACGCACACACACACACACACACACACTGTCACACACAGAGTCACACAACGAGCCAAAGGCATGCATAATTTTTGAAATGCTATAAATAGAATTGCAATTGTGATTGATTGCAGTTGCAGCATTGTGTTTGCCCCAACCCTCAGCCCAGAGAGCTCGACCAGAGCTCAGTTGCTGCTCATTGGCAATGTATGCAACTTTTAAACAAATTATTAGATCAGTTATTCTTGTTTAAAGCCCAATGGACAGACACACAATAGCAGCAGCAAGCAGCAGCAGTAAGTTCCACATTCATTTCCAGCTGAAATGTAAAACATTTCAAGACTTGCTGAACAAGTCCTGGCACTTGACCCTATTCAATATTACATAGATTTTTACGATATGTATGTGTAGACAAATAACTGAAATGTACTTTTAACATATTCATTTTGTCGAGTTGTCATTTATTGATTTGTTTCTGGGCCAAATGGGACGGCCGCTAGCCGGACATATGTACATACATACATACATATATGTGGATACATCTTTTATTTATTGTGGTTCGAAAGTATCATAGAAATTAAAATAAATTCGTATTTTGAGCAAAGTCTCAAGTTCTTTATGCCGCATGCCATTGCCATTGCCGTGCCCCCGTTGCTGTTGCCGTTGCTGTTGTTGGCCAACCGAGTTGAACGATTTTGCTTTTGATTAATGTCTCTGCCAAGTGCAGCTGTAGCCCAGCCTCGGCTGTAGCTCAGCCCAGTTCAGCCCAGTTCATCCCGGCCATAGACAGAGCCCGTTCCAATAATCCAGCATTCCATTACAATATGCATGCAGCGGCAGGAGCAGCAGGAGCAGCCCCTAGATGCTGGGCCCAGTTATCCGTTTCAGCTGCTCAAATGCACGCAAATGTCAGTCAGGCTGCAGACTGTAAATTGCTCGAATGGGACGGATGGATGCTCGACGCCAAAGTTGTTCAGTGTTGTCGGCTGTCGAGTGCTGACTGCGAGTCGGCACTCGACATTGCTCATACGCAGCGTTTGCCTCAAGCCAAATGAAGTTACTTGCGGTTGCTGATAGTTTTTAAACACTTTTTTTTTTTGCTCTCTTCGTCTTCTTCTTATTTCAGTATTGCTATTGCTGTTGCTGTTGTTGGCTGCTGCTGCTGCTGTCAGGCATCGTTTTTGTGTACATATGTGTGCGAGAGAGACTTGATTTATGTCGCTTTATTTCATTTTAATTGAAAAACTTGCAAACTGAGCGACCAAAGCCAAGTGGAATTTACGCCCAGCCAACGCACAAAAGAACAAATATAATTAAAATGGCATTTAAAATGTTTTCGGCTACCGACAGCAGCAGCAGCAGCAACAGCAACAGCAGCAGCAACAGCAGCAACAACAATAGCAAATATGCAAGCACCAAATATATGTAATGGCATAAAAAAGTAAATAAATTACTAAACAAAAGCACAAATGTAAATAAAATGACTTTATTAAAAAGCTGGGTGCACCAACAGCAACAAAGACAGAGAGCAAGTGAGTGAGTGGGAGAGAGAGAGAGAGAGAGAGTGAGCGAGCATGAAAGAAAGGGATAGGCGTTTTTATAAACTTTCAGTGTGCAAATAATAGAGACATTCACCAGTCCCATGGCTAGGACTGTGGCTATAGCCCGAGCAGTAGGTAAAAAGTAAATCTGTCTGGCAATGCAACAGCAGCAACAACAGCAACAACAGCAACAACAGCAACAACAGCAACAGCAGCAGCAGCCAGCCCACTGTAAAGGCCACAACATGCTCCTAGCGCTGCTCGCTCCCGCTTTGTCTCTCTCCCTCTCCCTCTTACACTGTACCTGCCCCTCTCCCACTCCCTCTCTCTGGCCCTCCTCGGCGTCTAGCCGACCTTTTTGTATATGACAAATGCAAATGTCGCAGCTGGATTTGGCAACTTTAGACATAGCCGCGACGACATAAAAAAAAAAAAAAAAACAAAAACAAAAACAAATACCCACACAAATAAAGAAATACATATGTATATATTTTTAAAAATTTATCAAATAAGCCCAGGCAAAATTTGTATGCACCGTGGTACAAAACAGCAGCAGGCAGCAGTCAATTTGCGAGCTGTCGATGTGTGTGACGCAATGGCAAACGTCAGAAATTGAATGCAAAGATTGAAACGAATGCGACGCAGCCAGCATTATGGTTTTTTGCTCTCCATATAAATTTTTTATTTTATTTTTTCATTTTTGGATAACCAGTCGATGGCAGCGTTGCCAGACTGTGGCACTTATGCAGTTTTTACTTTCAATAAATTTGTAAGCATTTTGTAAATGCAATTGAATTGTTGACCAAGCTGGAAATACCCTGTTAAAGAGGATAAACTAAAATATAAAAAAATTTCTTTCATTTCGCTTATAAATAGTCTCAAAGATTGAGAGCTATATATACGTCTATGTATTGAACTAGAATGACACATAGAGTGGCACTTGGTTTGCTATTTCACCGGGGCAAGCATATAATTCACCTGTCACATA